TTTTGGGGGTTCCTTCTACCATTAGGGGGGGGGGGGGGGGTAAAAAATTTGGGCCTTTTTGAACAGGAACCCTCCCCTCAAAAAAGGGGGGGGGGGGGAGAGGGTTTTTTTTGAGCCCCGGGGGAAAAGGGGGCCCCCCTCAAACAAAAAAAACCGTTCCCGGCTCCCCCTTCCAAAAAATTTGCCCCTTTTTTTTTTTGAGCAGTTTTTTTGCCCCGGGTTTTTGTAAAAAAAAATTCAAAACAAATGGGCCCCCCCCCCCCCCCCCCGGAGGGGGGAGAAATTCGAAAAGTTACCGTGAACCGTCGAACAGTTACCATGAGTTGCCATGAGGCAAGGTTAGATGGATGGCAAACATGCCTCGCTGTCGTTACCCCTTCCGCATCTGCTCGTCATCGATGGTCGCCCATGCTCACCCAGCCGTGCTAGAGGAACACACACACGTACGATAGTCTCGTATCTACGAACGTATACAGTATCGACCAAAGCTCGAAATGAGCGGAACAGTGTGTCGTTACCCCTTCCGCATCTGCTCGTCATCGATGGTCGCCCATGCTCACCCAGCCGTGCTAGAGGAACACACACACGTACGATAGTCTCGTATCTACGAAAGTATACAGTATCGACCAAAGCTCGAAATGAGCGGAACAGCTCAGCCAAGAACCATACATCGAACCACCTGCCTTGCAAACTTGCCATTGCCGCATCTAGCACTGCACAACAGAGAACATAGTCATGCAAATCTACGAGTAGCCTTGGTCTTGTAGGGTTACGTTTTTCTTGATCACTCTACCCCGCTTACTCACGCGGACCCCTACTTCCGAGTTCTCGCGCGGTATCTCGCTACGTTTTCTGCGAGCCGGTCGCTTCTTGCTTTGGCCTTCCACCCCCCCTGCCCGCCTTTCTTCCTCTTCTACTTCTTCCTCCTCTTCGTCTTCGTCGTCGTCGTCTTCGTCGTCGCCGTCGCCGTCGTCGTCTTCATCTTCGTCGTCGTCGTCGTCGTCGTCGTCGTCGCCGTCGTCGTCGTCATCGTCGTCGTCGTCGTCGTCGTCGTCGTCGTCTTGTTCCTCGTCCTCCTCCTCTTCCTCTTCCTCCTCGCCCATGTCCTCCAAGGACCGGGTGCCGGACATGTTACGGCCGAAAGTGCCGTTCCCTTCCGTGCTCCCAAGTGCGCCAGTGGGGAGGGCTTCGTTTCCTTGACCACGTCGGCGAGGCCTCCCGGCTTTAAATTTTTGGAGTACCTTGGCCTTCTCGCTCTCCGAGATAGTGTAGGCTTCCTTGAACCTATCTACCGTCGTACCCGCCGCCACAAGTATGTCCTCCCGGTGGCATCTTGTGACGTGCTCGGACATGCCATACTTCCAGATGTAGGTGTCCTGGGAGCAGAAGAGGCACTTCAAGACCATGTTGGTGCACGGTGAGGTATCTGAGCCCGCCTTCGCACTACCCAGGTTCAGAGCTACGGCTTCCTGGCGTGCGTCGCTCCGAGGCGCTGATGGACAGGTCGAGTGCACCAGGGGCCTGGCCTTGCCTGGTGGATCATGGATGGTGCTGCGGCACCCGACCTCACCACAGAAGCCACAGACAGTGCTCACTTGCAAAGCCTACAACAAAAAGGGAGAGAGGATGGATCGTGAGCGTGCCGCTGACATTTCCACGCCGGATTGAAATATGCGGCATGAGTCCACGCGCGTCCGGTAAGCACCGTTGCCCAACATCTCGCGAAATAATAACACAGGGGACAGGGTGAAGCAGCCCACGCAGGTGAAGTCTATACGATGCTAATGAAAAATAACGAAGCCATGCACGTATCAAAACAGCATTGCACACTACAGCAGTATCAAAACAGGTTAAATCTCACCCGGTCTTGCATTCCCATGCCAAAAAAAATAAAGAACACCCGCACCTTGTCCTTCAAAATGTGACCTCCCACGTGCAGTCTCATTTTCGATCGTTGAACTTCTCTCGTGCAGAGTTTGCAGCAGATCTTCTCGGAGCCCAATCCCCCCGACGGGGCCACGCCCAATGCGCCAGCCTGAACATGAAACAGGTCCTCGTGGAGTGGTAAGGGATTGGCGTCTACGCCAGACGTTTTCTGCGCGGGAAGGTGTCGCCAAGCGCTCAGAGCGTCGACCTCGTCCACGAGAATATCTTTCACGGCGGTGAGGTCGGCAAGTTCAAATCGAAACGAGGTTCGGTCCACACTCTTCTCGATCTCCACTTGCTCCTGCACCATCGGCCCCTCGCGGAGGACAGTGCGTGTCACGGTCTCTTTGACCACGACAGGCGTCACGACTACGTCGGGATCCAACGGCAAGACGAGGCGACACTTGCACGATAGCTCCCCTTTGTGGAGTCCCAGGTCTCCCCAGTGTTGCCACGAGCCCGTAGCTGGCGTACCGTCCTCACCGATATCTGAAGAGGGAGTTCCGTCGCCCTCTTCCAGCCGATCTGCAGCAATTGCAGGCGCCACACTGGACCATTGCAGCTTCATCAATCTACCCTTGACAACAGCCCCATCTTGCGCCTGCTCCTCCGATGGGGCCTTCGTGCAAGAGAACAAGCCCAGGGCGTACTGGGCTGGGCTCCTTCCCGGGGTCGCCACCAACATAGCAAACGGGTCCCCTACAACAATTCCTCGCGAATCGGTGTTGTCAATGCCGGCTGCCTCCCCCCCCCTCTTTCCGACACCGCGTGAGCCGGTACTAGATCCCGATGGCCCCGCCGTGTAGGCTCGTACGCGCTTCAGCCGGTCTCTCGACGCATTCCGGAACTCTGTGCCCATGAACTCCGTCAAAGCTCGCTGCTTGTGAATCTGCTTACCATCGACCTCGCAGAAGGACGATATCTTGCCAGGCCCATTTTCGGTGGCGTGAAGGAAGGAATCTAGCTCAACCCCCGCCAGGAGTCCAGGCTCCTCCGTGGCTACGGGTGCGCACTGCTCTCCTTCATCTGCGTCGTCCCCGTCCTCAGAACCCTCCTCACTGACCGGGGCATCAGTCGTTCCTTGTGCCCGGGCATCAGTCGTTCCTTGTGCCCGAATGCCCGGAAACCCTCCACCCGGTCTTCCACACAAACGAGACCAGCGCATTCGGGACAGCCAAATATGCAACCGCAGCATGCGTTATGTTATGAGATTTTAGCACACGTGATAACTTTCCAATGAAGCACAGCGGTTTGACATGGAAACAAACTTGTGGCTGCTTTCAGTGCACACTGACAGCGTTATATGACATTCCCGCTCTTTCGGCATGCTACGGTTATCACAAGCACCGAGCCAAGCACCGAACCTTTTTCGTCTTCTTGTGCTAAGAGATCACGCAATCATAAGAATACTTCCACCTCTTGGCTTACCCGAAAGGCAAGAGCGTCGTGACGCCAGCCTTCTGCAGGTCTGAGATGGTGCCCCCGTTGATCGAACCCTTGAAGGAAGGGTGCCCCCGCAGTATGTCGTATCCGCGCCAACGGGACCCCCCTCCTCCGTGGAGCACGATGGTGCAGCCCCCGCGGGTGCCACGGGCGTCGATCCCACCGCCGCCGGCGCCACCGCCGCCGGCGCAGCAGCCGGGTGTATTACAGGGGGCGTACATTGCGCAAAGGACAGCAAAGAAGTCTGCCTGCTCTTGCCTCCACTCGCAGTTCCTTTTCTGATAGCAACCCACCAAACCATAGGTTGCCGGAGGATGACGCACGGGGGAGCATGAAGCAGCGCTTGTGTCAGCTGTCATCATCTAGAGCCCTTGCCTGCACGACCTTTATCGCAATATACCAATAGCCCAGCCAAGCACACCAGTGAACGAAAAAGTACATCGTCAATAGTAGGCGGGACGCCGCGACTTTCACCTGTGCTCTTGGCCCCTCGCATGCTGGTCGACGTTTGTCTGCGACCACCTGTCACCATTTTGGATATGCTTGCCACACGAGCAGATCCATTGTCCTTTGCCATTTTTTTTCGCGATTGCTGCCACCGCCGGTTGTTTGCTGGGAGGAGGTGGCGCACTTGTCTGCGTCATCGCGGAGCTGCCAGAAAAAAACACGTGCAGGACGGTGGCCGGTTAGCTAACTTCCCCAGGCCATAAGCAGAATACACACGAACACCCATCGTTCATTGGGCCAGGCTCGGCCGTGATAACGATCTCCTTGAGGTGCCGGTACGCAACCAAGACTTTGGTGGTATGATGCTTTGTCAACAGAAGACACAGACTTGAGACAGCAGTTTTGTTCACGATGGAACTTGGCTGGTACAATAACAAGCTTGGATTCAAAGCAGTCTTCGTGTTGCGCACAACATACCAACTAACCAAGTTGCTATGTTGCTTGCCAACACTGCTGTATAAATTCAGCCGAAGATGTTACAGCCAACTTGATACAGCACACAACAGCAACAAAAAAAATCCCCCGAGTCAGGGCCTAGTTCACCAACTTGAGTTCACTGCTGTAAACATCGGCGAATGCAAGCCGAACGGAGTCTGTACAGTAGTAGCGACAAAGAAGCGAGGTGGAATTGTTTTGTTTGTGGCGATTCCGCCAGCAATGTTCCGTGAGTGCCTTGCCGCCAGCTTTAGGCTACTCTTACCGCAGGTGACACAAGATACCACACCCCCTGGACCGATGTTCTAAGCTCTCTACAGCAGTACAATGCAGTACAAAAAGAGTGGCGATGCGAAAAAAGGCGAGGCGTTGGAGTTGCCTCGACGAGGTCCTGCCGAATAACTTGGCATCCTCCTCGTGGAGTGTAGTATATAGTTGAGCAAGAGCAAGCTTTGAAAACCAGTCGAGGGGGGGGTGGTATCTTATGCCACCCACGGCAACCCACGGATATAGCGGACAAACCAAGCTTGGACAAACCACACCACATCAAGCACCCCTGTTATCCTTGAGTTTGAGACCTACCCAACGGCTTGGGCGGCTGTATACGTATCGACATTTGAGGGTAAAGTGGTTGTCACAGCCTGATAACCTCTCCCGTGCATGCCACTCGAGGTGACGCCGCTGTGATCTACTGGTACCAAACGAGATCTGCAACACACGCCTGCAGCGGGACGAACCATGGTTTCCAGCCGATTGCTTCAGGCTCATGTTTGGCCCATGCTTCACAAAGACGAGACTGGTTGCACTAGCGGAAACCAGTTCTGTCTGGTGCCACTGACCTGTGCTTTTTTCCCTGCTCGTGACGATCCACGTCCGCGTGTCGGGTGCCCTCCGTGTGCTTGCCGAATATGTGCTGGCACGTGCGACATTGCCATCCATGTTGCTCTGACCAATCGGCCACACGAGCGACTGGCGGGCTGCCGCCTGCTCCTTGATTCTCATGGGGGTATGCACGAGACGGCTGGGAAGACGTCCCTGCAGTGTGCGGGGTTTCCGCCATCTTTTTGGGGTTTCCGCAATTCCACAGCGCCAGCAGCGCCAGCGGTGATGCACACTACATGATAGAGCGGCACGCCAAAGCGCCAACGCCTGGGCATAAACCCCGGGGATGCATGGTATATGTCCCCCCCCCCCCCCCCAAATGACCCCCCCCCCTCCCCCGGACCACGATTTTCGATTAGTGGGCCTATGTGTCTTGAATTTTTTTCTACGAGTACCCTTGTCTGACCCAAAAAAAAACTTCCGAAGCGGTCTATTGAACCATGAGACTTAGAAGCTAAAGCTTCAAAATTCCCCAAGCCTTGGACGTGTCGTTGGGCATGGTACAATAGGATGTGGTGGTGTGTTGACAAGTAAGTGGAATGGACGGGGTGCGAGTAAAACGTCCGGGGCCCAGTCATGAACATGGAAAGTAAACACCCCAACAAAAAATTAATGGTGGGCGGGTGGGGGACCCCAACAAACAAAGCATGAAAAAAATAGAATAGATCAAAGACAAGTGAGCCAGGCGCGACATGCTTGAGGGAGGAGGCAAAAGAAGCATAGAAAAACCACCGTGGTCGTGGCTCGCTCTGGGCCGCTGGAACATGTCACATAGCACTGCAGTCCAGCATTAGGTAGGGCCCCAAGTCCATTGCTTGACATAAAACAGGTAGCGCACATTGCCTCTCATGCAGCAGCCCGGTGCACGGGTAGTCTTTTACTCAGCAAGATGCGGAACCACTGCGGTTGACGTAGTTCGATATGGTTGGGACCCCACCGGCGAAAGGCGAGAGAGAGACACATAGACTAAAGAAGAGAGCGGAGAGAAGACAAGGCATTCACTCTCGAGAAGACACTCACTCACTCTCGTCCCTGTGGCCCACCGCAGGCTGTCAGACATCTGTACCGAACGGCGGTATCCGAAGCGGGCTCAGCAACAACAAACACAGCAACCACAAGTCGCCGAGTTGGAACTAGACTAGAGTAGTGCAGACTTTCATCCTTCTGTGACTAAGGGGGTGTCTTATCAGGCCGAAAAAATACGTATTTGGTTACGAAACCGTATTTTCTTGAAATATATGGAGGCGTTCCTCTACGTTTCCGTAAAAAGAGCAAGGCGTATTTTTTGGGGGCTTGCTCCTTTTACGGATCGGTAAAAAATTTCCCGCTTTTTTTCGGCTACCGGAGCAGACACCGGTCACGCGTGCTGTCTTCATCACACCACACCTAGACAGCACCAACAGCACCCTAAAGTGCTTCCCAAGGCAACTCCACTACCATGCCTGAGCGTGGGAAGCGTCAAGATCCCAGGGGGATCGCAGCGCAACGCCGGGAGAAGCGCCGTCGGCGAGCTATCGACGAGGAGGATGTAGCCCATGACAGAGATTCACAGTCTTGGGTCTTGTGAGGGCCGTAGTAGTGGCGGCGGGCGTCGTGGCAGCAGGAGAGGCTCATCGTGCCCACTGCCCTCAGGAACGGGAGCCCATCTACGAGCCCAAGCGTCTTCCGTGGGCTCAACACGAGGCGGACCTCGATAAACGGCACGGGTGGCGGCGGTCGTACCGCATGGAGAAAGGCAGTTTCCACAAGCTTGTCGAGCTACTCCGCCCTTCGCTGGAAGTCAACGCTTTCTTCGGCGGTGAGTGTTGATGTGTAGATGCAGCCGCCCACGGCAGGTATGCGTGATGAGGGTTCTTCTGGGTGTATATGTAGAAAGCAACGGGGAAGAGCACAAGTCTAAAACATGTGCTGTACATAGACTACTACTGCTGTAGTCTATGTTCCTGCTGCCTTTTTTCAAAAAGCAACTCGCTCGTCGAACATGCGGCAGCAGGGTACGTACAGCGCAGCAGCAGTATTGTACGATATACTGCTGTTACAAGACACATACTTGTACAGCAGCGGTCATTGTATGGGTTAAAGGCGGAGGTACTATTCGTGACGCTCACTACTGTGCAGCAGTATTCACAGGGCGTACAGTACACGCCGGCCCCACTAAACAAATACAGCCTCGTCGGGAGCCGATACAAATTGTCGTATCCCGCAATGACACAACAGCTGTCGACACGTGCTCATCATGTGCAAAAAATGCGTATGTAGGTGATGAACACAGAGCCGTCTCCGTACCGTAGTACATAGGTAGGTGTATTGGGCCGGCAATCTGACGAGTTTGCGGAGAACATGCGCCCCCCGTCGTAGGTTGCTAAACTAAGTGCTGGCGATTGCAAACATGCCCCCTTTGACACTCGTACTTCTGTCCTGAACGACTCACGCTCATCCTGCAAACGTTATCTGCGCGTCGCTCGGAAACCCCACAGCACTGCGATCGCCAACCAACGGCGCCATAGCTGTGGAAGTCCGCGTTGCCGCGGCGTTGAGGATCCTGGCTGGCGGCAGTTACTGGGATGTTGCCCTCATGTTTGGCTTGTCGAGGGCGGTCACGTTCGACATCTTGTGGCAAGTGATCGATGCCATCAACGAGACGCCTGCGATTGGGGCATTTGACTTCCCCCTGACCGAGGAAGGCTGCATGCGAAACGCCAATAGATTCAAGGTGAGACCTAACGGTGGTCAGTACTGCAACTACGGTTATTCTTGGCGGCATTCTTTCGACCAACCGCGGGATATCGTGTATTTTTTCACGTCTGCTGTTTCCAGCCGTTTTAGCATAGGGAGGACTATCTATACGCAGCCCTCGTTGATAAGAGAGAAACAAAAGTGTTGTCGCCGGCGGGTACGAGTTCGGGTTGTCATCGTGGTCAGCATGGTTCGAACCGAAAAATATCCCCCGGGTCCCGGGTGGTTCGCCAGCTTTCGGTGTCCTTTACAAATAAATGTTGTTGTCATCCTTTGTGTATGCTGGCCACGTTGGTTCGGCCCCGCAACAGCAGTGGCCCGGCAACAGATTTTAGCGATACAAGAGTGTGGAATCAATGCAGTCACCTCCGTGGCTCTAAAATGCCCTGATACCTTCGTACCGCTGTACGTGACGCATGATTATGATTAGGATTATCAAACGGCCCAACTCTCAGTTTACATGGTATGCCCGCCGTTGCTGGCGATGGCGCCGTCGCCGATGACATCAACCCACACAACGTACAGCTGAACACTGTTACCAATTTTTGTCAACGTATCTCTCGACTTATTTTATATCCCTTCCCGACACTGCTACTTTCCCGCCCTCGTGTCTGCCGTCTACAAATGCAGGAGAAGAGCACCGATGGCATTTTCTCCTGGGTCGTCGCCGCCGTGGATGGTCTGTTCATCAAGGGCAGGGCTCCGTATGCGAAAGACACCGCCAACGTCCTCGCGTACTACTCTGGCAGCAAGTCCGCGTACGGCATCAACGTACAAGCCTTTCTTCCCGTGGCGGGTACACTAAATGGGCGGGTTGCGGTTAGGGGCCACATGAGCGGATGGCGGCAGAAGTACGCTAGCTTCCACGGTATGACGAGACGCGTGAAAGGGAGGATAGCGGCGCGGGAGGGAGAGGCGCGGGAGGGAGGTACCTCAGTGTAGAGGGCGGAGGGCGCTGGAAGAACGTGTTTTGGGTGTTGGTGGTAGGGTGTCGGCGCATCCCGGGGAGAGGTGGGGGGTGTGATGTGTGACATGTTGATTCTCGCTGACATGTTTTGTGGGTGTCGGTGTGGAGCGTTCTGACCAGATGTGTCCGGGTACACTTGGTTCGTAATGTGTGTGTTCGTGCCGGCAACACTTTATGGTTAACATGCATCGTGTGCGGATGAAAGCGGGGTCCTGTGGGTCTTGGAGGGTGCTTGTTTTGCCTAGGGCATTAAAAGTGTGGGCATGTTCGACTTTTTTTCCTAATTGATAGGAGGGTGTGAATCGAAAACGTTGTTGTCGTTGATACAACTTTTAATGATGTCTCTGCATCCCTGTATTACATATTCGTCGCGTGGGTGAAAACATTGCTCCAGGTTGCAGACCTGAAGGAGACCCACACACACGCTAAAAATTGGGGTCTTGTCGAATCCCATCGCGAACACATTCCTGCGCTTCAAGTGAGCATGCGCGGAGACGGGAAAAATTGCAAGGCTCCAAAATTGCGGAACCAAAGCGTGCCTTAGAGTCCCCGCCAACACCCAACGTAGTATTGGGTTGCAAGAACAAGTCTTGCAAATAGGAAAACACCAAACGATATGCATGTCCGCAGAGTGGCGGCACGGCAGGTTACCCGCAAGACAGCGATGTCTTCGGCGTTCTTCAACCATATTATCCTTGATACTCCTTTGTTGCCTCAAGGCATCCTCTCAAAGTGTTGTTGCCAACCAAACAACCCACACGTCTCTGCGGAGGCGCACGTATCAAAAAAAAATGATGCTACGAAAAGACGAAGTCGTTGACTCAACCATGCCCAACAATAAAAAAGAAGGCTACGACCCTCGCAGCAAGGAAGCCCTGCAGCAGGGAGAGAAATAAAAAAACGCATCCTCGTGTTCGTTGAATACAGTCACAGCAACTTGCCCGTGAACCACAACGGTCTCGGCTTTCTTCCACTATATTTATTTTCGTTGATACTCCTTTGTTCCGTAAAGCATCCTCTCAAAGGGTTGTTGCCTACCAATCCACACGTCTATGCGGAGGCGCACGTATCCTCAATGCTGCGACGAAACGAAGACGTTGACTCAATCATGCCCAACAATAAAAAATGAAACTACCCCCCCGCCCCCCCCCCCGTCACGCATGCATAAAATTCGACGATTGCACGGTAACACTTTTCCGGGAGTGCATATGGGTGTTATTCGTCGCCAAACATTTCCTTCTCGATGCCGGCCAACATTTTGCGCAGGAATCTAACTCTCGTCTGATAACCCTCTTCTTTTTCTTTCTCCTCCACAATTTTCTTCGAGAATTCGGCGTGGGACTCGGTCAT